CTTTACGCTCGCCAAGGATTTCTCCAAGGTTTCGTATGAGGACATCTTTTGGCGAAGAGGTCTCAGCTCGGCCTTGAGGTTGTTGATGGTTGCCTCCAGCTCGCTATTCTTCTTCTGGGCCGCCTCTAACTGAGCCCGGATAGCGGCGGTAGCCTGCGCCTGATAATAAAGAATATCAATGGTCAGAACTTCATTTTGGGCAATTTGAAACATTGCCTTATCACAGTCAGAGGCGGCCATAGCTTTTGCAGCCTTTACCTCTTTGTTCTTCCGGTCAAGCGGCTTGCGAAGGCCGTTCACTCGGAGCAGGGCCTAAGTAAAAAGGGGAACAGGCGTCAGTTTCCAAACAAAAAAGAAAACAGGCGTCCTGGAATTCAAATACTCAAAAATATGCTAAGTATACCTCAGCAAGGACCCCTGCAATCCCGTCTAGGTCAAGGGTGCCGACACCCCTGACCGCCTCCCTTTCAGCTGGAGGAACGGCCTTGATCATAGACTTGGCCACCTCGACCAAGTCAGGCTCCTGAGGGCCGGCTGCATCAAGCATAAACAAACGGATTAGACCTAGTAAAGAAGGGAGCAAGTCTAACATTTACAAGGATAATTTCATACTTCTAGGTGGCCCAGCTGGAGTTTTAGAAGAAGTGGTCGGCTGCTTCTCAGCCGCCACATGTTTCCTGGCAGAACCAGGAGAGCTCGCAACAGTCGTCCTCCGGGCCTTGGGGTCCGGCTGTTGGGAAGAAGAAGCTCTTGGAGCGCCCGTCTAAAAAAAAAAAAGAAGAAAAGAGTCAGTATATGCATAAACACAACTCCAAAAAGAGGGTGAAAGGTTCGAAGCCCACCAGGGGTGCCCCCTTGTTGGGGGAGTCGGTTGAAGACTGTTGCATGATGGAGGCCCGCAACATGGCCGCCGCAGTCTTGGAGGCGGTAATTTTGCTCATGGCGTCCGCTGCAAAAACAAATAGCAAAGTTAATAAAAGTCATAACACGAAATGCATGGAACAACAGAGTATTCGACAGGCCGGCTACCTCTTGAGCACCGACTGCTGAGGCCACAGGCGGCCAAAAAGTACTCGTCGTAGAGCCATTTGAAGCTCGGGACGCAGTGCAGGGGTACTTGCTCTCGTACCCCTGAAGTAGAGTTCACCTTCGACTCTACTTTGAAGAGTCCTTTATCTAGGATCTCTTTTTTAGCCTTGGGGGGAACAGGCGGCATGCTGCGGCCGCCTGCAAGAAGGGGCGGATTCCTGTTCCACCTGTTGAAGCGCTTGTTCAGCTCTGTGTCTGAACTCTCAATAATAAGGAAGGTGCTCCGCCAGTCCTTCCATTTGTTTGCTTTACCTCTCGTCATGAGGTAGCCCCTGTGGCTCGTCAATTAATACCAGCCGGTACCGCCTGCCTTAGGGGTCCGGTTGAGGTAGTTCGTGTGGGCGAAAGCCTCGAAGTTCGGCTTCACCCCATGCAGTTCGCACCCGGCCACATAGCCGAGTACGTTGACCCAGGAGTTCGGGGCTAACTGCCATAACCCCAACTCATACCCATCCAAGATCCGCTGAACAGCCGGATGTAGTAGGAAGCGCAGCCCAGCCTTGATGGCCGCCTCGTAGCAGCCAAAGCAGGCGCCATCATAACTGGTACCAGCCGGCCAGACGACTGTGTCTTCTGGATCCGGCACAAACACTAAAAAGCCGGGGCCCATTGTGTGGTTTGCGATAAAGCTCTCCACTTTCTCTTGCATGGCTGTGATCCGGCCCCGACGTACCGTGCAGTAGTAGGGGGTATTTTGCTCTTGGTGAGAGGCGGATGGCTCCGCCCAATCGTCCCCCTTCTCAACTGCGTGAGAAAGCCTCGCCTCTTGTAGGCGACTGTTTTTCTCTTCTGTGTCCAGAGAAGCATGGCCAGAAGAGCTAGACTCGGAATCGTCCTCTGACGAGTCCGAAGAGGACGACTCTTCCCCTCTCCCAGAGGGGCCCGCCTCCTCTCCTTTAAAAGGAGCACGAGAGAATGTAGAATTGTCAACTGTAAAATGGGAAGGGGTCACTTTGACTCCTCCCTCAGAACTGCCGGCTTTCAAGCCGCTTTGTTTCACTTCCACATCTGGCGCCTGGTCAGATGTTTCACTAATCGGCACCCTGTGGGAGGAGCCGTCTGAGTTTGAGATCCTGGCAGTCTTTTTTGTTCTGGCCATCATGCTCTGCATAGACACAGATACAGTCGGACTTTGTATAAAGGGCAAAGATGGGTCCAGAAAAGGGCAGGCGGCACTCCTAGTCCTAGATTCAGCCGTCCCCGGTGACCGACTGATCACTAACCTAGGTCGTGTCGTGTGCTTCTGTGGTGCCATTTCAAAAAAAGAATAAAGTAAAGAGAAAATTAAGAGTAAGAGAACCGACGGTTACCTGAACGAGTGACGATTGATGAAGTTCTGAAAATCCTTTGCAGTCGGCTTGTCAGAGCAGGCGGTAGGCAGAAAGGGTCCAAAATGTCAGAGCAAGTTCAGGGGTCCGAATGTTCTCTCACAAAGTTTTCAAGTGTGAAAATGACCGAAGTCAACACTCCTTTATATAGGCGAAGTGAGAAGGCGAAGGGTCACTTCCAGAATTCAAAATTTTGGCGGGAGAATCTCTCGGCCTCTCGCCGAGTGACACCTGTAGCAGGCCGTCGCCTGTTACAGGGTGATACCTGTCACAGGTAACACGCGACCAGTCACGTGCCACCTGTGAGGGGCAAATGATTAGGGGATTTTTCCACCAATCACCATCTGACAAGTGGACCAATCAGGTTCCGCCATGTGTCCGTCACATGGGCCAATAGGAGCCTGCCACGTGTCAAGCAATGACCCGTCCACTATGGACCAATTACGACACGACATGTGTCCTTCCCATGACACCTGGGATAACTGGTCACCAAGGCCCAACTTCCGAGGGAAGCCCAATCAGCCCAAGGTTAGCCTAAACCTAGATTGGCACGTTTCCCGAGGTTATAAATACCTCCCTTAATCCTCATTAAGAGAAAAAAACACGCAGATTACACACGTTAAACTCTCTCACCTAGAGAGACCCAATCACTTTAATTTCCGCATTAATTACTCCTTAATCAAGTACTAACTTGACCGTCGGAGGCAGATCTCCAATCATCCGGAGCATCCGTTTGTTTTGCAGGTACAGGCGTCCGGTTCCAGTCTCGGAATTGTAACTCTCCCGCAGGACATCAGAAAACCCCGAAACAAATACCACATGGACACATCATGCATCTTCATCCGAATTTGCATGAGAATCTTACAAAAAGTATATATACTCAACAAATATAATTTGATATTGGGAAATTCTCTTTGGTAATACCATAATTTTTACTTTTCTCAGTTGTGAATTACAAAAAAATTTATTATCTTTGGTAAACCTAAATTTTGATTACCAAAGATAATACTTATTTTAATTTAAACTCATTAACCATAGTTAGTTTTTATATTTTTGTAAATAATTAAATTATTTTTATTTAAAAAAAAAAAAAACCAACCCCACCCACTGGTGCCCAAGCCAACCCCAGCCCCTTCCCCTCCGCCAGCGCCACCGCACTTCATTGCCGACTCCACCCACCGTTGCCGGCACCCAAACCCCTTAACACCGACGACCATCCCTCATCTCTGAAAACCGCCAGCCGCTCATCCCCCCACCCCCGAAAACCACTAGTCGCTCACCCTCCACCCTCGAAAACCACCAACCTTTCATCCCTCACCTCTGAAAACCGCCAGCCGCTCATCCCCCACTCCCGAAATTCGCCAGCCTTTCATTCTTATCCCTGAAATCCGCAACCACACCTGGAACCCCTCTCCTTTCGGACTCCCCTTCCCCGATTTCCTAATTCCCTTTCCTTCGCCAAATCGGACCCAAACCCACGACCCAAACAACCATCGAAAAATCACTGGCGAAAATCAGGACAAAATCATCGGTTTTTGTGGCGAAATTCAACGACGCTGCTTCGAGACGAAGGCCGTGGTTTTTGAAACCAATCGGTTTCGAAGGTGGAAAAAGCCCGATTAACGTTTTTGATGGTGGGGTATTAGTCGGATGGGGGATTTCGAGGGTGGTTTCTAGGGTTTTCGGGGAAAAGGGAGGTGGGTTTCAGGGATAGGGGATAGGCGCGGCGGGCTGGGGAGGCCGAGGCGCCGGTCAGGGAGGTGGTTGGGCGCCGAAATGGGTTGGGGCATGAGGTGGGTTGCCGGCGCCGGCGTGGTGAATGTTGTTCGAGGAAGGGGGTGGGTTTTTTTTTAAATTTTTTTTTTAAATTTAATTTATTTATTAAAAAAAATAATAAAACTAACCATGGTTTATGATTTCAACTAAAAAGATGTTAACCATGGTTTAATATTAACTAAATTGCTTCATTAAGTTCACCATTGAAAATTATAATAAATTAAAGTTTATCAATGATAATAAGAATTTTTGCAATTTACCACTGAAAAAATTAAAAAGTTTAGTGCTACCATTGAGAATTTCCCTTTGATTTTTAATACGACTTAATTAAATCAAATACTATCATAAAATTTTTATGGATGATTTTGCGGGTGTTGAGCCCTCATGGTTGTCTAGGCTCGTTTGGCACAAATCGTGCAACAAACTAAAAATGAGCTCTCTAAGCATAACAAGACTCATATGCTCACATTATTAGGAAGTGTCATGCACTCATGTGGCTTTTGCCTAACTATGTATAGTGTTAAGACGTGTTCAATCTGTTCATCATATTTTGCAAAAATAAGCCTATAATTAGACACAACTAACAAAAAAAATCGTGTTTTACTTGCCTAACACCAATATGGTCTCGTGAACACAATAAGTAAGAGATGTCAAAATCTGTCGCGAACTCGCGATCGATCTGATTCGAAATTGACTCGAAAAACATCCAACTCAGATTTTAACTTGCATGAACACAATAAGTTAACATGATTCAAATTTGAAATTAGAGTCCACCCAAGTTCACCAAACCCGACTGAAACATTCAAATTGACTTTCTTTGCTCGATGGTACGGTGCTATGTCTCAACCTAACTCCGACAACACCCAAAAAATTATAATTGAACCACGACTCGTTTGGCTATTTTGATTTTTGACCCAAAAATCAAAACCTTGCAACAGTCCTAAGACTCCTAACCTGCATTACATGTTGCGCACACTCCACAGCATCAGCCACCAACGCCGCCTTCAACCACCCAACACAAACACAAGCATTACTCTTCTACAGAGAGCAAAATTTCTGCCATGAAAACTTAGATTATTACAAAGAAAAAAGGACTGATTTTTTTTAGTTGCTTCAATCTTTGTATCTTCATTTGTAACAAAATGCTAGCTCGAAATTACTGTCCATCAAAAAAGCTTAAACGTTTGATTTCTGTTTATCTCTTCAATTCATCTCATCAATTTGCTTCAAAGTTTTCATCTTCTTGTTCATGTAATTCTGTAGCAAGTGTAGCAGTTCATAGAACAAACCCCTGTTTTCAAAACCCTGTTCTTCAATTTCTGCCATGTTCTTCATTTGCATTGCAGATTATAAAAAATTATTCATCAAATTCTGTGCAAAACCCATCTCTGAAATTGATTAGAGAAGGTAATTTTGATGAAATTGCATCTCAAACGCTGCAAATTTGCCTTGGTTGTGGTGTTCATATGCAGAATTTAGACCGTAATTTGCCTGGATTTTATGTTACGCCTGCTACGAAAAAACCCAGATTACAAATTGCCAATTAATCGAAAATTTGTCGTTGATGAACCCGAGGCATCGGATTCCCTCAAAAGGGGTGTTCTTAATGAGTTTGATGAGACCCAAAACCCTCCCTTAAACCCTAATTTATGTGAAAAACCTGTTGTTTGTGCTAGGTGTCATTCTTTAAGGCATTATGGTAAGGTTAAGGATGTTAGTTTGGAAAACTTACTGCCAGATTTTGATTTTGATCATACTGTTGGTAGGAAGCTGGCAACAGCCTCAGGGGGTAGGTCTGTAGTTATAATGGTAGTTGATGCAGGTGATTTTGACGGGACGTTCCCGAAAAAGGTTGCTAAGCTGGTTTCAGCTACCATTGATGAGAATTTAATGGCCTGGAAGGAAGGGAAGTCTGGGAATGTTCCTAGAATGGTGTTGGTGTTGTCTAAGCTAGATTTGTTACCGAGTTCGTTGTCCCCTACTCGGTTGGAGCATTGGATTAGGCAACGGGCTCGGGAGGGTGGGGCAAATAAGTTGACTAGTGTGCATATGGTTAGTGCTGTGAGAGATTGGGGTGTAAAGAATTTGATTGATGATGTGGTAAGATTGGTTGGGCCAAGAGGAAATGTATGGGCAATAGGAGCTCAAAATGCTGGGAAATCTACATTGATAAATGCAATAGGAAAGCATGTAACTGGGAAGGTAGCACCTATAACTGAGGCACCTGTACCTGGGACTACCTTGGGGATCATAAGATTGGACGGAATCTTTCCTGGGAAGGCGAAGTTGCTTGATACACCGGGGCTTCTTCATCCACATCACATAGCTACTAGGCTGACAAGGGATGAACAGAAGCTCGTGCAGATCAATAAGGAGCTGAAGCCGAGGACTTACAGGATCAAGGTGAGTGACAAATTATATATCTCAATAGTGAGTTTTTGCTGTAAAATTTTATGCGGTAAATCATTTGTTGTGTGTTATTTCCATTTTACGGCATCAATGATAATCATAGTGGCCTCTGAGCATGTATTTTCTATGTCTTGCATAAATTTGGCGATGATGGTGAATGGATTATTTTTACAAACTGTATAACAAGAAAGGTAGAAAGCCGACTTTGACATTTTTCCGGTTTGTTTAGATACAAGTTGGTAGTGTGACCAGTATCCATACTTAATGACCAGGCTAGTTTATGTGATTAATGTTAAAACAAAACAATTAAATTAGGAAGTGATTATGGTAGGACATGAACTGTAGTAGAATAATATGGCTATTTTTTTGAAAAAAAATAAAAAAAATTGTATAAAGTAGCATTGTGCTGATTGGCCATGTTAATGAAATTCATGTGATTTTTGTGTAATACTATTAATTAACTCAAATACATGACATTGTTGATATAAGAATGCCAAGTATTTTGAAAAATCTACTGCTTTGAAATTTTTGTTTTGTAGGGACAGTGCCCCAAAACTTATTACTCATCAAAGTGAATATGTTTGTAGATCTTAGATGTAGCAACTTAGCAAGCGCCACAAACATAGATAAATCTTTTTTTTCTTATGTTATCTATTTTTGTCAAGTTCAAAGTACGTAAACCATATCTGATTAGCTCAAAACATGAAATACCTTCAAACCATTTCATAGATCTTCATTAAGTCATTTATACCTTGTAAAATTCCATTTGTCTACTCTACATAGTGCTCTTGTGTCTAGTTGATGGTGCTGCAGTGCTTGGGATTTAGATATTTGAAGACCACCCCATGATAGAGAAATAGAGAAGCTTGTGACTTTTTGGCTATATAGTATACAGGTGAGAAGGAATCTAGGGTGTAGATAGAATTATTTCCAGACTAAGCACTGTCCAATCAAAATTTCTCCTATAACCCATCCTTGATATCAGCCTTCACCAATCTCAGCTTATGACCAGCTTTCTTGAGATATAAAGTGTCGATGTCCGTATGTTATACAAAATCACTGAGCTAGATATATAGAAAATTGTAAAAGCGAATGACCCTACTGTCTTTGAGTCAGAACCAGATAAACTGCTAACTACTAGTATTTATTAATCATACTGCTTTATAGATTTTCTGCAGTTTGCTGAATATAATTTTCTGAAAAGAAGTATTAGACTTCCTCCCATTCATCTTCTCCCTTCCACTCCCATTTTCCTATATTCTGAAAGTTTTCTCATGGAAAATCGAAAAATGATCTTCATCAAAATATTTGGTGCCTAAGAGGAGATGAATCATCTAGCTGTACTTGAGCATCAATGCCAATCCTGGAGGAGTAGAATTTTGTGCACTTTTTACTATTATTTGTCAAACCATCACAAACCTGAATTACTTAGTCTGAGACATGGCCCACATGGGAGCATGATTTACTTCATGGATATCTTTTCTGGGATATACCCTGTATAAGTGTTCTTCAGGCAATTCATTAACTCAATCCCCTGAGATACTTGCGAGGTGGTCGGTTGGCACTATGGGAATAAGTTTGGAAGGCAATTGAAGAATATGTTTTGAGATGTATTCTAGACTTTTAGGAGCAGTAAATCGTCCTGAATTTTCATTCATTTACTTAGGCTGTAATAGCAATGTTACAGCCATTCACCAGTATTTAATACATGCACAAAAGGGTAGACTCGTTTAATTCATACGTATAAGATTCGTTCATTATTTTTTTGCTTTGCTCTCTGCAAAATTCCTATTTAATACAACTACTGCATGAACATTGGAACTTAAGAATGCAAAAGATCTCATCTGTCATCAAAACTCTTCAGCAATCAGCATTCTAGTTACAGGTTACAATCTTACATTCTTTGAGGGTCATTTGTGAAGGGGCTATCCCATCCCTAAAATCTGCACTTTGTTTGGGGTATCACCAAAAAAAATTGATTGCCCGCTCATCAAAGGATGATGACCTACTCGTGATGGCGTCAAAAGAGTATGAGATAGAAAAGCAAATGGGTTTTTAAGCTTATGTTGGGGGTTGGAAAATGATATCTAGGTTTGGGGGGATCATTATGCCTCATATTTCCTCCCACATGAGGAGCAAGGGTTAGCGTAACCTGTGATTTCAGATTCTTCTTTTTTGAGTTACAACAATGGAAATGCACAACATAATAAGAGTGTTAGCATGTAGGCTGCTTCCTTTTAGGTCTTATCTAAAGCATTTGTAGCATGCATAGGAAATTGATTGAAAATCGTGCTCTGTAATATATTGGAGCTCCAAGCATCCTTGGCCCTTTTGTTTCCTACATTGCTTGTTTCTTGAGCAACTGGCTAAATTATGACCTTCTCCAAGCATTTCTTCAGATCCCAGCTTCCATTCATATTGCTGTTTTTTTCTGCTCCTTTCTTGCCCTTCAATTCTAAGCATATTTGTGGTCTATACAATTTGAAAGAAGTATGTTCTTACACTCTCTGTTTAGTAAAGGCAATCTGTGGAGCAACATTTATGGTTAGAGTTTTGACAGTCAAGCAGGGAAGAATTTCTTGCTACAATCCTAGCATCCAGTTTCTTGTTCTGCTTCTTAAATTTTCTGGTGTATCTTATCACTCGATGTACCCATATAGGAGGCATTAGTGTTGACCATAATCCTGATTCAAGGGGGTCATAAACAGGACAGTTTGGTGGTGGGTCTTTAGTGCAAGGTAACTACTTATGTTATGACTCTCAACCTCTCAGGTTACAACCTTGGCATTATTAATGGCATAATTGAGTAGAGAAGGAATATTCTGAAAATACATCTTTTATTTAATGGCATAATTGCGTAGAGAAGGAGTATTCTGAAAAACACATCTTTAATTATTATTTTTCTTCTAAGGTACTGCAGTAGGTGCATCTGATTAGAGGTTTCCATGACAGGTTGCCAAGGTTTGAGATGATGTACGCATGTGCATTATTTTTAAATAGCCATTCTTGGGGTTTTTATATGTCAGGATAGGTTATACCTTCCAAACCTTCCCATTATTAACTTCTTTGCCGCAGGAGATTTTTTTTTTTATTTTTGGAATGCCCAATTTCTTCTGCACTTGAAGCATTTCCGTCTTGGATTAAGCTAGCAATCTTCTTGGATTTAATATGAACCCTAAATCAGAGTTCAGTTTTGGGTTTGCACCTTGCAGTGGATTAATAACCATTTAATTCTGAGTCATTATGACAGATTGGTCTTCATAGTCTTCCTTGATGCGCCTATGTTTACATAGAAAGTGAATGGTGTGTGTTATTGTCTTAGCATGCCACCAAGAAAGAAATATTGTTGATTTTGGTTCCTGTAGTGTCTAGTACTTTTCTTCCCTTATATTTTTTTTGGCTGTAAAATATGAGTAAATTCTTAGCTATGTGTTGTTGTATATTTTTCCTCCATTTATACAAATGTAAAATTGTCTTATACGAAGTAGTTCAGTAGCTGTATACCTGTGATGTAGAACAGTAGAAGCAAAAGTAGATCACAAAGGAAAACAAAGGAAGTGTTGTATGATTGACGCTTACAAGCATCACTGATTTATTACAGTGTAACATAATTACTACGAGTTCTATGGATGCACAAATGACGGGATATCAATTTGTAATAAATTTAATGCCGCCGTTGGATTTGTGTCATATCTAATTTGTTGATCTTTCATTGAACGCACTGCCGTATGATGTTGCTGTAATTGGCTGACTGATATATATATATATATAAAGCGTGCGAGTGTCATGAGTTTTATTGATGTGTATCTGCAAGTCTATGTGCCTCGTTCAATAATATTGTTCATCTCTACAGGTTGGTCATACAATTCATATAGCTGGGCTTGCAAGGCTAGGTGTTGAAGAATTGGCTGCAGACTCTGTTTATGTTACTGTATGGGCTTCCCCTCTGTTACCATTGCATATGGGAAAAACAGAAAATGCTGATAGAATGCTAACAGATCATTTTGGTCGACAGTTACAGGTATGTATGCTTATTTCTTTATGCCTGATGTCGTAGTATCTTAGTCTGTTTTGTGTTATGTTTATGTTCCTTATTTTATTATTATTGTTATTATTTTTATGTCTATGATTGGTATGTATGATCATTTTGGATTGTCATCCAGGTTTTCTTAAAAAAAAATTTGCTACGGTGTAAACATGAAGCAAACTTTTAACTTTATCTGACGCGATGGAAATTATATTTAGCAGACTAGTATCCGAACTAAATAAATTATAAGTGCATGCTTGGGGTTTGGGCATTGGGTACTTGTTGTGCTGGAAGTTGTCTATTTGAAGTCATCAAATATCTTATCAAATGCAAAGCTAGGAGAATTTAACATACCAATATACCATATATATCACTCAATCTTTGCTTTTGCAGTTTTGCATGTTAGCTCTTAAGATACTTTAAAAATCCTACTTTACAGCATAAATCTATACTTAGTTTCTGGTATAATCCTTTTTTGTACCATAAACTTTATTTTCACATCTGTCATCTGTTTTCCTATTATTTCTGTGTTATGCTTCTGCGTGAGATCTTTATACCTTCTACGTGTGCCCTTGCTTCAGCCACCAATAGGAGAGAATCGTTATAAAGAGCTTGGTAGCTGGGTGAAACGGGATTTTCAGATAAGAGGAAATAGTTGGGATTCAAGTGCTGTTGATATTGCAGTTGCTGGTGTGGGCTGGTTTGCCATTTGCATCAAAGGGGAGGCAACCATCAGCGCTTGGACTTACGATGGAGTTGATGTTGTTCTCCGAAATTCCCTTCTTCCTCATAGAGCACAACAGTTTGAAGTTGCCGGCTTTAGTGTCTCAAAACTTGTTGCCGAGGCAGACAAAACTTCCAACAAACTGAAAAATCAAGGGAAAGAGGGGAAAAGAAAAAAAGCCTGCTCTAATCTGAAATCCTAAAATTGTATAATTTTTTGAAAAAATTAGGAGTAAACAAATTGAGAATTATCAATTATGGTGACTTGATGTCTATTGACTCCATTCCTTATCTCCTTATTAAGGTTATTTTTTTGAGGGAAAATAAATAAGGTTATCTATACTTTAATATTTAAAAACACAAACCACAAATTTTTCATATGACACATGGCATCACAAGTCACTCATTACCCCATATGCCACATGTCACCCTTAATAACATATTAATATTTATGTTTAAGTCTTTTTGCATTCTCCAACTTCCAAATTCAAGGAAAAAAAATGAAGTGTTTCATTTTCATCATAATAAAATAAAGTTCAATTAATTAGTACACATTATAATAAAAATTGTTTTTTCATGTCATATACTTTAAATATAATTTAAACTAATATGTCATTTCATATCCCATAATCTTCACACACACACACACATTTAACTAAATCCCTTCATCTTCTTTCACAGCTCTACCCTCACTCTTTTTTTCTTTTAAGTTTTAGAAATGAAACAATACTTTGTATAAACTAGGGATTCTTATTGATGCGCGCAGATGGCTAGCCCTTTAAAGAGAATTATTATAGGCGGTCTTTATACCTTATGCATATTTGCATATGGTATATATATTTTATTATATCTATTTGCATAGTAATTTTTAAATAATTATTGATGAGACGTATAAAATAAATTAAACAAGTCATCATATAATTGTATATTTTGTAAAAAAATGGAGAGTGTAAAAAATGGAGAGTCTAAACTCTAAAATGCTTTAAATATTGAAATAAACACAAATAATTAATCAATTTTGGTGATTCAAAAGACAATTTTAAAGCTTTTGAATTCAATGAGGGTAAATATGTAAAAGAACATTTTTAGGGATATAAATGTCCATGCACTATTCATAAGAGTATTCTTCTACTTTTTATAAGGTAGGGAAGCATACCTATATACAAAGATAATTAACCCAAGTAATAACCCGTGCATTGAACGGGCTAAAAAGCTAGTTTGGTTTAATATAACGCGCTTATTAGTATATTACTCATTAAATTTGGACCTATTTTTCATACTTTTTTTTTTGAGGGAAAATTAGATAGGCATAATATTAAAGATCGAATTCCGCGTGAGTACTAATTGAGAAAAAGAGTCTATACAAACAAATTCCAAACAACCCCATGTATCTCACATTCCTGCCTAGTAACCAAGTAGGCTACACATGAGAAATTTTTAATAGAAAATTTGTGTAGAACTACCTTAAAAATAGGCTGTGAACAACTACCAATTTTTTAAAAATTTATTTAAAACTATCCGTAAGTTGGCGAACGTTTGTCTAGCATATTAAATATTAAATTACTTTAATATTGTTGAATCTGTTCAATTTTTTAAGTCTATTACGAATAATAAGACCCTGTCATCTTCACCTTAAAAAAATTTAATTGCAGTAAAATTAATTTCAGTTCAGTAAAAATAAGTTCAGTTGAGTAAAATTCAGTTTTCTTACCGAATAATTATAATAGAAAATCAGTAAAAATAATTTCAGTTCAGCAAAATTAAGGTGAAGAGAACCCGCCTAATATTGAAACTTTTAAATTTTCTAAATTTATTTTCATATCATGTATTCAAATCTTAGAGACAATTTTCTTAAATGATATGGAAAAGAAGGAAGATACTTTAGCTTAAATGTGAACAGCTAATTAGAATTAAAATCATTTCATATATTGTCATATAAGAAAAAAAAAAAAATCACTTTAGAATATCAAAGATATATGCATGTAATAACTATTCCATAATAAGTGTGTATATGGTTTAATAATAAGAAATAAATCATTTGGATATCAAATGAGATCACTTAAGTATCAAAAGAGATGTGGATATGGAGTAATAATATAAGAAATAAATCATTTGGATTTCTAGAGTACTCCATATTTAGTGATATATGAAATAATAAGATAGGAAGAAATCGTTTAGATCTCAAAATTGATATAATTACTCAATAGGTTTAGAATAATCCTCAGCTATAAAAGATGTTAGTCATAAACCTTGATAATTCGTACCATCATATTTTGAAGCACTAGTTGATAAGTTGATCGATCTTTGAAAAAGGTTGTGATTTCAATATGGTTGGGTATACAAAGGCATCATTCACACCTTTCATTATAATGTTGTTGGTCATTTTGTCATTCCGTAAGTCATTATTATTACTTAATTGAATTAAGCTCATGTCATGCAACCATAGTTTGTTTATTTACTAATTTGTATATTTTTTTGTCATTTTTTTTATTTGCAATTCTTAGAAAATATATTAATCTTTATCTTACCAAAAAAAAAAAAAAAAAAAAGTAACACTATTATTAGTTTTAGAAGTTTGATGCTTGCAAGTCCTTTCGAAAAGAGTTTTTTCCATTGACCCTAATATCCTATGCAATTTTTGTATAATATTTTATTATCCTAGGCAATAATTGTGTTGGATATTGTGTCACCAAGCAATGTTTAAATTTTTAGTTATGCTAATTTTATTTTAGTGAGGAGTGACAAAAATATTAAGTTTTAGAAATAATGTTAATGTTTGATATATATATATATATATATATATATATATATATATATATATATATATATATATATATATAGTATTAAGACGAATTAGTTTTGTCCAGAGTCATTGGTGGATGTAGAATATTCGGTGTGGAGGGGCACTAAATAGAAAAATAAAAAATAAAAAAAATGTAAATAAATAATTTTACTGACTTATGTGATTTCGGTTTTATTTTTTTTTTGAAAGACACTTACTATGTGATTTCTTAAATTTTAGTGCTACATCTCATTTGATGGTCTTGGAATTGCTCTCATCATTTATGACTTTATGTGATGTTAGAATAGTATAATGCTAAAATAAATGGTACGAATAATTATTTAGTGTCATTTAATTTTGTCAAAAATATCACGTCGAATACTATAATACTACGGAGTAGGGAGTAGTTTATAAAAGTTTCTTTTTAGCAAAAAAATGCATAATAACTACTTTCTTAATTAATTATATATACTACATAATGTGTTGACAGGCATGGGTGCAATGAGTTCTAGAGTTAGTGAAATACAAGAAGAATCCTGTGTGCCGTTGGGCGGCTATGAATGTACAACTGCTGGGTGTCAAAGATATTGTGCTGACAAAGGCATAAAGGGGTGTTACTGTGGAAGGCCTGCAAAACAGTTTTGTTGTTATCAATGAATTACCAATATATCTATTACCTACGTTTCATATTATTTGCAACGATTAGATATTTTTCCTCTCTACTTTAAGTCAAATCGTTACAAATAATATGAAACAGAGGTAGTATTTCAATAAAATGATTGATTGAAAAAAGTTCTTATTTCCGTAAAGAATTCTTCTCGTGTGTCTTTTCCTTTGTACTAATCTCTACATTAATTACTCCGTAATTAAAATATTTCAACCTGTTCTCTAAATAATTCGATCTAGTTTTTGACTTGTATGAACCTAACGAGTTAGTACTAGACCTGTTAATTTTCAACCCAACTCGAACTTGACTTGTTTCTGTGGGTCTTAATGCAAGTTTTCTAACTCCAAACAAAAGAAAGGGCTGAGAGTTTCAATCTTGGGGGCCTAGAGAGTAGAGACTAGAGACAAAGGTAACCAACAAAGCTACATAAAAGTAAGTCCAACATTCTAATAACTCCAAACAACAAGATATGTTAATCAAATGGCAAAATTATTGGACTCTAATGTTCAATGAACCCATTTGTTTACCATGTGTCAAGAGCATTTTACAAGAAAGTGAAAAGTTAAAAAGTGAAAAGTGAGGAACTTTGAGCTATTAAAGTGAGTGAATGTAATTAGTTAATTACTACTCCATTATTACCCCCTACTTTAACTTCATCAAAAAAAAAAATAAAAAAATATACGAGTGCTTCTATTTCTAAAGAGCACTATATTTGAGAATATAAAGTGAGGAATTATGAGTCATTGGATTGAAAGTTTGAAAGTAATTTCGTAAAGACTGAAGTGACAAACAAAGTGTACACTTCATAATCACTTTTAATCTATACTTGTACTTCAGAGTAGATCTTTAGCAAACAGAAATAAAAATACAAATTACCAAAATAAAAATACCTTTTTTTTTTGTCGTCAAAGCCACCATAATTTTCGACAGATCTTCTAACACTCTATTAATCAACAAAAATAATTAATGAGTAAAACAAGGAGATTATGACTTATATATATTAATTCTCCTAGCAAATAAAAATAAAATTAAAATAAACTAAATATAAAATGAGTGAAGTTAAATTAGGTTTAAATTACCCAAAAGAACTATATGGATCTATAAGCGCATTTGAAAATATTATATTGCTTCCAAAGTGCTTGATTGTTGATCGTAAGTCCTGCTGTTAGTTGAAAAGAAATTATTCAAAACATAAGTTATAAATAAATAAATAAAGTACATTGAAATAAGTTAATGAAAATGATATATACTTACCAATTAGTATTACATACTCCTGGATCATGTACTCGATACCAATTATGTTAGAGTTATTTTTGCTTAAACCTCATGTTATTTTCTTTAAATGTTGTGTTATTTTGCTAAAATAGTATGTTATTTACTTATATACTTCAATAGCATGTATAAAAAAAGCATACAAGAATGAAATAACATGTACTTATCTAAAAATAACATATATAAATTGAAATGATAAAAAGTTTATATCAAAATAACATGAATTTTATAAAACTGGTGTACAATGATATAATCAATGTTGAATATAAAAAAAAAATGCAAGTATAAAATAACATATACTTATTTCAAAATAACATATATAAAAACTAAAATAATAAAAAGTTAACATTGAAATAACATAAGTTTTATAAATTTGGAGCACCATGTGCATGATACTCCAGGAATAACATAGAAATTGCGTATACTTACGTATCCACCATAATAGGTTGATACTGATTTGAGGCGCGGGGAAACATGATACTTTGACGTGCACGATTCAATTTTTTTGGTCAGGTTGAAAGGATTTGGCTGAAATATAGTGTTATTTCCGCAACCTTGGCGGAAAATGAACTCATCACATTTCTGCAATTCAAATAAGTATATTTACTCCTCTCTTCGTTAATAATATAAGTGTATTGAAAATAAAAATAAGTTG